AGCAAATTTAATGCTGTGGTAATTAAAGTCTTATAAACAGGTAATGTAGAATCATCAGTAGCCTCCTCACGAGTATAGTCCATCCAATGAAATTTCGAGCGGGGCGGGTAATTTGAAGAGACATATAAATGTATATCACCATGTGAATGAATTGTGAAACAAGAAAAATTTTCTAAAATTGGGACACTATCTAAGCTTTTCTGGTGACATATATCCGCCCTATTTTCCGCGAAAAATAATACGACTGAAAATGCTACGGGTGTTTGCCAGATATAAAAGAGAGGTTGTGAGTAAAGTGGTGAATTTGTAGCTACCAAAATTTTTGGACTGTTGGGAACCAAGAGATAGTAAAAGTTATCAGGATAAATGTATAACTTTATTTTATTTTGGCCCAAATACCAACTGCCATGACAACCAATCCAATATCCTAAGGATTTTTCATGAGTTTTTGTATAATTTCGGGAATGGATGGAGACAAAAAGAATGACAATTTCGCAAAGCCAGTTTTTGTTTTGGAGAATGTCAAGTTTTGGGGCATTCTCATGTGTAACCAGTAATCCAAATCAGAATCGTCAGGAAAGTTTCGTTTGGTCAGTGTAAGCGGTACATCCCGCGTAGTTGGCAGATATGGGCTGGAAATATTGTTGAAAACGAGGTGATATCGACAAGGGGTGTCGGGCGATAGAATTGATGCCAAATTTATACTGGGCAATGCTATCTTGGCTTCGATAGAAATAAAATTTACGGTGCAAAACAACGCGAGTAATAACGAAGAGATGTGTATGAGTTCGGCCATGTTTGGCAATTGTGATATGTTTCTGGATTTCACTATAAGACTTAGCAAAAAACTGTTACATGAAAGTGTTTATGTCAAAAGACACTTAGGGAAATCTGGTAATATGTAGAGACTCAGAAATGGAGTGTGTAATAAACATTATTTATGGTCAAGAGATTAATCGTTTATGGGCGAATGAAATAAGTTGGACGAAAGTCAAGGTTTATGTAAGGGCAAACTACCAGGAAAAGTTGAGTAAATGTATGTATCACTTCGGGCCAGTGTTACCAAAATGAGAAATTTGGCAAGTGATGACTAAATATGTGTTGTATTTGACTTTGTGCAAAATAAGTGCTAATGGCAGCTAATACCACCAAGCTGCAGGACAGAATAAGCTTGAATTTATTTAAAGCCGGAACAATAGTCTCTCTAAAACCTTTAGCATTAGTAGCAAGATGGCTTGGACATATTTTAATTATCATGATTGCACCGAGTTGACATTTTATAAGAATAGTTTGGCCTTCCTAAGTACATACATATCTGTAGTTGAGTGTTTTATAAGAAGCAAAAGTTCGTGTTTAGTTTCCTTGAATAATTTATTCAATGCCCGATTAACTGATGAAAAGCAACAGAACCGAAGTCTAAAATAAGGTCTATGACGTGAATGATAAATAAGTAAGTATGTATGGATATTTGCGTATGAATATACATACAGTAAAAATAAAATTTCCGAAAGGATTAACACCAAAACTGTTACTTCATCTTAATTTTTTTAAAGGATCCAGTTCTTACAAAGCACTTACCAAGTAAAGCGTTTCCACTAATTTTTTTAGTGGGCGCGAAAACCAAAGTGTCTCCATAACAACGGATTCGTTTTTGAAACGAACAATACCTCTCATCTCCCAAGTAGCGATTTTATAATACTTAACAATGTAGATTGATTGAGCGAAACAAAATTTTGGTAGACGTTTGGATTGCGTGCAATACAAGAAAACAATCTGAAGTTTGTGCTCACAGTCGTTTAATAAATTATTGTATGACAAATGTCTGACGCAAATATTTCATGCTCAAAAACATGATACGTAACGCAATGTTTTAGATATATACTCGCATGCATGGCATATGTATTATGAATATTTGAAATATTAAATGGCTCGTTGAGTTATTTCTGAATAAATACATAAATTGTGGAAAAATAAAATTTCTGTACATATTTGTAAAAATACTCTCGGCAGATTTTCTGTCACCATTTCTTGGACATACGCTTCATACAGAAATTTATTTTTTTCCACAATTTATGTATTTATTCAGAAATAACTCAACGAGCCAATTAAATTAATTTAATGTGCATAATACATATGCCATGCATGCGAGTATATAAATACATACGTAAATATATATCTAAAACATTGCGTTACGTATCATGTTTTTGAGCATTTTGGTGTTAATCCTCTCGGAAATGTTGTTTTCATTATATGTACATATATTCATAGAGTGTGTCCAGAAAGTTTCTCCCTATCAACCACTAATGAATTTTATTACCTGACAAAAACTTGGAGATTGAATTGTTCAAACTGCTGTATTTTTTTAAAGCTCAGTAATATGGTGTGCGTAATCCGGCCTTCTACAGCATTTTCACAATTCATGCTTTAAAACTGTGGTGTAAAATGCGTGGCCCTTACGAAACCAACCTGGGACCGGGATTTTAAAGTCGTGTTTCGGCCTTGTAATGGATGCCACACCCTTCAAATTTGTTTTCCTACATCACGAGTTTTGTGGATTGAATTGTCAATGCTATTAAATCTAGCTCTTATCAGTGAATATACGCTTATACGTAGCGAGATTTAGGCTGGTTCAGATTTCATACGAAAACTATGCGATTTCCTTCAAATTATTTATGTAAGGTAGTATTTTTTTGATTGATGGAGTGTCCTCGAACTATTTGAACTGCGTTTGTGTTTAAAATATTTTTTATCACTCCGCAATCCTAGCATCTTTCAGATTTTTGCGTTTCCACTTAAATCCATTTCATGCATTGGATTATCCAATTTGGATACTGCTAGGATACTCAATTCCTTGTGCATGAGAAAAGGCTTCACAGTTGGTATCGTATTGTAAAAATAATTGCACGACAATACTAAAGTAGGGAATTCAAAACCGGACCCCTTTTTGAAAACCGGTTTTCGGTTTTTCCGGTTTTCCGCCCACCAAAACCTGTGAAAACCCGGTTTTTCACCGTTTTTCCAAAATAATATTTTGTGCACTAGTCTGGTAGAAAAATTAAATATGTGGGTATAGTAGGTTTAAAAGCCCTAACCTTAAGAACAATGGCCCAACAGAAAGATTCACGAAAATCGTCAAACTAATTAAAAAATATATCTTCTCTAATGATTTGAGGAAATATATATGTTAAATTAATGGATTATCTACAGACGTATTATTATCAGACGAGATGTATTAACGTAAAATGAGGATGCCAATTAATTGTAAATACGCAACGGAAGCCTTGTTTTATTCTAAAAATTATATGAAAGCACAACCTACTTTTGTATGTAATCCAGAAGAAAATACATACTATATTCGTAGGATATATGAACATTGAAAATATGGTTTTGTATATTTCAATTGTTTGAATTTCACCACGGTCACGATTTTAGGCCTCAAAACCGTTTTTGGCGAAAAATTCCTGTGGGCGCCAAAAAAATCGTACACGGTCGTACGATAGCTCATTTTTTCATTTTTTTAAGTATTGACCAAATTAATTTTAATTGCTCAATGACTTAACTGATGCCAATGGGAGAATTTACCTGCGTAACAGGTTTCAAAAAAATATTTCTCGCCAAAATGATGGGAATTTTCGAATCTTGCCACACTTTCAAAAATTAGAAGGCTATATTTCAGCTTAATTTTGCACATACTTATTCACTTCCAAAATTTTTTTTAGAGTTTTCAGGTTCAATTTTTTTAATTGCGTCAAAAATCGAAAAGTATGTATCTAGAAAACCAGAGAGTTTGGCTGACGTTTTGCATCTTTGAACATTCCTTTTCATGATAAAATGCTTATTATAAAAATGGAAGCAAAATTCCCGGAATCTCATGTCACACTAGTTTGACCCATGTTCAATTTCATTCTTTTGACTGATTGTGAAAGTGAATGTAGTGAATGAAAATGAAATTCCTGTCATTCGAATGAAGATGACTGAAGGATGCCGTCATTTCTTATGAATGAGTGGGAACAAAGGGATTTACCACTCCTTTCATTTTTCACCGTATGCTTAATAAATGGGACGAAATGGCGTCAGAGGGTGTGGTGGGGGCAAAATGAAATTTTTAGGGAAATTGAATCTAGATGACATATATACAGCTAAATTAAGTGTTCCCTAGTTGTGCAACATCCCCTCCCACCCAGGGGGTGTGGTCGGGGCAGAATGAGATCTTGATTTTACTGAAATTAGGGCGAAGTGAGACTGAAGCCACTTCCTTATGTGCGTTTTTCGACGGTTTATTTATGGTATGTACAGGGTGGTTAAAATGCCACGCTGCAATGGAAAATTTTTCGATGGGAAAAATTCTTAAATTTCCATTAGTTACCGAAATTTTGGCCCCAAAATTTAATATGTTAAGAATTTTGTCATCAGTTTTGATGATAATTATAAAAATTTCAATCCCAAATCTTGTAACTAATGGAGATTTTGGGACTTATCCCATTGAAAAACTTTCCCTTGTAGCTTGACATTTAAACCACCCTGTCTGTATCCCACTTATCAAAATTGCATACATGATCCAACGAGATGTATGGTAACCAGTTAACCAGTATTGCCGATGAGTTCTAATTGATTTGAAGGTGAGTTGAACTCGCTATAACTAGTCACCAATTTGTGCAAAATAAAATTTTTAAGAATTTTTGGACTCCCAGATAAATATATACCTAAATTTTGGATGGAATGGTGCAAGTTTAAAACAATTAAACAAATTTCAACTTTTTTAAGTTGAGACCAAAGTATAAATGAGTTGTAAATAATCTGGCTCAAAAATTTTCATCATTTTGTTTCGTTGTAATTTATATTACTTTTGCATTCAGAATTTATCCGGGAATCCAAAAACGCTTAAAATACCAATTTTGCACAAGTTGGTAATTAATTATGATGAATTTAATGCTAACTCATTTATAACTCATCGGCAACACTAATAGTAAAATAGTAACACGGCGATGAATCATCGAATCTCCCGTTAAAACCATGCATTTTTATTGCATGATAGATACATAAACTGAAATTTAGGTTAAATAACGCTCCAGAAATTAATTATCCGCCCGCTTAATCCACCAGTAATCCCTCCTCGAGCACTGCGTCAAGGTAAGCTTCACCCCGTCCGGCTTCAAACAGTTGGGCGACCAGGCCATCACGCGGCAGAAATTGGAGTTTTGGATGCACTCTAAAGTCCAGTCCTGCTCCTTCTTTTCCAGCTCACAATCCCCCAGTTGGACCAAGATTGAATTTTCCCGGTCTTCCAAACACAACCAGGACCCAGTCGTGCCATTGGTTTGGATGGCCTTGGCGCGGGTGTGTGCAATTGCAAACTTGAGCAACTTGTCGGGATCGCAGGGGAGTACGGCGAGGCTGCCCGTTTCGGGGTCGCGCCCTATGCACGTTTCCCGCGCCCAGATTGGGTGAAACGTGTACAACGCTAGGTACGGGTCAGATTCAGATTCATTGGTGAAAGAGAGGGAGGGATGAGTATAAATTGTAAGGAGGAGGACGATGAAGTTGGTATAAATTGACATCTTGACGTCTGGTGGTTAATCGGCTGAAATTTCAGGACAAAAATGCAAAATCTATATTGCAACAGTCTAAGAAACCCGGTAACTAAGTTATTACCAGGGGGAGTATCTATGTGACTCTATCGCATATTAATTTATTTATTATTGAATGGTAGAAAATTGGTTCCCAACTGATAATATGTTAAAATTTCGCGACCGGGTTATTACGGGTTTGGTAATAAAATGTCTACTAAATAATAAACCGTCGCAAACGCGTATACGTAAGTAGCTTCAGACTAGGGCATGTAATCTCGATATCGGTTTCGGTATTTCGGTATTTCGGTATTCAATATTCAAATACCGAAATATCGATATTTCGATATTACAATACCGAAATTGGCATTTTGCAAGTTATGAATTTATTTAATTAATATAACACTTTCGAATCAATGTAACCCCTTGGAATTCAAACTATAAGGTGTAACCAGGTCAAAAGTCAATTTTTTAAACATTGGGGGTGTAACCAACTCAAAATTTAGAAATAATAATATCGAATTTTGACTTGGCCATAGCTCTACCTAAAGCTTCTACTTTGGGGGTGTAACCAAGTCAACACTCAGTTTTGGGAACTTTGAGGGTGTAACCAAGTCAAAATTCGATTTTGGGAACTTTGGGGGTGTAACCAAGTCAAAATTCGATTTGGGGAACTTTGGGGGTGTAACCAAGTCAAAATTCGATTTGGGAAACTTTGGGGGTGTAACCAAGTCAAAATTCGATTTGGGGAACTTTGGGGGTGTAACCAAGTCAAAATTCGATTTTGGGAACTTTGGGGGTGTAACCAAGTCAAAATTAAGTTGTGGGAACTTTCGGGTGTAACCAAGTCAAAATTCAGTTGTGAGAACTTTGGGGGTGTGACGAACTCAAAATTCGATTTTGGGAACTTTGGGGGTGTGACCAATTCGAAATTCAATTCGGGAAAATTCTATGGTGTACCCAAGGCAAAATTTAATTTTAGAAGCTTTAGATATCCGTAAACCTATGGCCAAGTCAAAATTCGATATTATTATTTCTAAATTTTGAGTTGGTTACACCCCCAATGTTTCAAAAATTGATTTTTGACCTGGTTACACCCCAAAGTTTAAATTCGAAAGGGTTACGTTAGTTCGAAAGGGTTATATTGGTTAAATAAATTCATAAATTGCAAGATTCCAATTTCGGTATTGTAATATCGAAATATCGATATTTCGGTATCTGAATACCGATAATTTCGGTATTTTAATACTGAAATATCGGTATTTCGAGATCTCGAAATATCGAGATTACATGCCCTACTTCAGACTACTTCACCCCAACCACTCCCACGACATCGCGAAACACTCTATTTCACCTATAGATTCAATTTTTTAAATCTCATTTTGCCCCGACCACACCCCCTGGCGCCGATGGGGTGTGGCACAACTCGGGATCACCTCATTTCACTCTATTTCATCCATACATCAAATTGCACTAAAAATATCATTTTGCCCCGACCACACCCCCTGGCTCCAAGGGGGGTGATCCGGTTGCCCCTAAAAGTTGATAGGATCCTCCCCTAGGGTCATATGTATAATGGCGAAAACCGATTTCGATTATCTCAATCCGTTCTCCCGTTATCCTGCTGACAGACAGACGGACAGACAGACAGACGGACAGACAGACAGACAGACAGACAGACAGACAGACAGCAGACAAAGTCTTCGCATAAAGTAGCTGAAGCTACTTAATAACTAAATTACCATGTGGTAAAGTCACATAGATACTGCGCATGGTAATAACTTAATTACCGGGTTTCTTACAGTGCACCTGTGTATGTACAGGGTGAGTGGTTTAAATGTCACGCTACAATGCAATGGGAAAAGCCTCTAAATCTCGATTGGTTACAAGATTTGGGATTGAGATTTTTATTAATTATGTATTATCAAAAAATTCGTAAAATGGAGAATTTCTGAGACAAAATTTAACACAGTAAGTAGTGGAAATTTAAAAGTTGACATCTTGTCGGGTTAATCTGCTGAAATGTCAGTGCAATAATGTAAAATGTGAGCATAGCTCAACGAGAGCTTCATAAAATTGGTTATAACTTTCGTATTATCGAATTACCATGAAACTTTGCAAATTTAATGTAGCGCTAGTTTCTTGGATTTACGGCTTTTTTCGATTAAAACGTGCAAATACTGTTTGTTGGATAGTTTTGTAAATTTTACAACCAATCATTTGAAAAGCTGTTCGTGTAATTTTAATCAATAAAAAATAGTTAGAACCGAACACTACATTAAATTTGTCAAATGTGTACAAAATTTAATGGTAATTTGATAATGTTATAGCTAATTTTATGTCCTGGGTTGCTAAAACTTCTTGGACTGACTGTATTTACATTAGATTATTTTATGTAATTAGCAAAATAGATACTTAAATGCATATATGTAAGTACTAATTGTTAATTTATGGTTGGTACCTTATTTTAAGTTTGCATTGTATTTCGGGTGTCGCAACTTCGTCGAGGTTGGAAGACGTATATAATAAAATTACTATGAGCAATCCTTTTATACCGAATTATTACTTGTAGTGCATACACTCTTAAAAAACTGGTACCAAATTATTACTGGCTGGAGTTCATGTACATACATGAGTACAAATGTATGTACAGGGTGTTAATAAAGTCCGATCCCATTTTTCCTGTAAAAAAGTGAAGGCTAGTATAAAAAAAAACTACCCGTGATACTTACAAAAAATGTTCGACATATTTACCTTAGTATTTGGTCTTGTTACCATTTACTTTAACCATGCCCTCAACTCTTTGTTTAAGGCTCTGTGCTAATTTTTCCAATGTGCCTCTGGAAATCGAATTCCATACATCTTGAACTTTTTTTTACTAGCTCTTCCCTCGTCCGGGGTTGTGGCTCTTTGTATACATTTTCCTTAAGTATGGACCACTGGTTCTTCAGGGGATTCAAATCTGGGCCGTTAGCGGCCCACACCCCCTTGCTCCAGACCGTTGAAACTTGCGTCTTGATGAGACTCAAACTCGCTTTTGCTGTATGGGCTATAGCACCATCCTGCATGAAAACTATTTTTCTTTCATTCGGAAATATTTCCTTGTTCCCCATGCTATCGAAATAGATAGGTAATATTTTTTCCATATAATGCTTTGCATTGACTGATTGGCCTTTTGGTATGATATGTAGAGGGGTCACGCAACGTGCACAAAATCCACCCGCTACCATAACTTTAAGCCCGAATTTTGGGATCGCTCTTGATGGTACATCCGATTTGTTTTCTGTCCTGTAACGAACATTTTGTTGGTTCAATTTTGGATATAGTTCAATAATAGATTCGTCAGTCCAAAGGATGTGACTGCGCAATTCTTCACCAAGTCTTTTTTCACTCAAATGGGCACTTTTCTGAAGGAGTTCTTCAAATTTCAGACGGTCATCGATATATTTTTGTGACATGAGAGGTTTTTTTGGTTAGTTTGTAAGCTGTGTGACCCCACTTCGTAGTTTTCACAAATTTTTGCACGGTCACACAGTTAATTTGCTTCTTCTTCTCTTTATAGCGTTTTGAGTCATTTAACTCCCTTGCTCAATTACGTAATAAACTACCGGTTTTCTTGCAAAGTCTGTTTTTAATCATTCTTTTTGTGGTAGGTGACACCTTTCTGGGTCGCCCTGGTCGCTTTTTGTCGTGGACAAAATTTTTATTCTTCCATTTCCAAACAGTTCTGCGGCTGCAGCCCAATTTTTGCACAATTTCTGTAGGTTTAAGCCCCTGCTGATGCAATGTTTGTATCTCAACTCTAAGATGCTCATGACTTACACGTTTAGTTGTTCCTCCCATGGTAAAAATTTGAAATAAATAACTTCACTGGTTCAAAAGTTCCAGCTGAATTTGTAACAACCACGCTCCAAAAAATGCATGGGATCGGACTTTATTAACACCCTTTATGTATGAATCCTCGGACAGGGTAATACATAAGTAACGTGCATTACGGTTTAGTAATGTTGTAGCAATGCAAAATGCACTATGCACAATGGTACCTTTTTAAGCTTAACCAGGATTTTTAACGAGTTGGGGCAAAAAATTAAGCTAAAAATTAGGAATCACATGACACTCATCTTTCCGTTGAGCGGGCCCTTTGAAGAAAAACATTGGGCGGCACGTCACGTGTCCGCCTTGTTTTCAGGAGAAAAAGCGAAAGAAAATTAACTCCAAAATTGAACTTCGCAGCCAATATTTTTCTTCAACGAAAAAACAGGTGTCATGTGATTCTTAATTTTTGGCTTAATTTTTTGACATAACTCGCTAGACAATCCCTCGTGTAACTTGACAAAAGGTTCCATTGTCAGAAACAAAGTACTACCAGTCCCGTAGGAAGTTAGTACCAAATCAATACCAGCGCAGAGTAGATATCCGAGATTTTTAGCAGTGTATGAAACACCTGTGTTGGGTAAAATTTGCATTAAAACCATCTGTACATACATAAATATCTACTTGTGTATGTTACACAGTGCAACCTCGCATGAATAGTGAGAAATTCAGAAATTGCTCCATTGTCCTAGGTTGTCATAATTATGTAAATATGCAAGTACATATTACAATATAATAACAAATCGATGTAAATGAAACGTACATATGTAGCAATAGGCTGAAACCCAATGGGATATCTTATTACGTTGTCTCCCGTCAACGTATAAAATGTTCGAAGGGGAACATCCAAATATGAAGTTGTCAGAAAGGTCGGTGGTTTTGTGTCCAGAATGTAATTCATAAAGGGAATTTGGTATTTTAACCCTTTAATCTGTAACGAAGAGGATTGTCGTTTTATAAGAAATGATATAATTCGGGACTAACAATGGAACCTTTTTTCAAGCTACACCGGGATAGACTATCAAGTTACCGTAAAAACTCAAATAGTAGCCGGGGGCTACTATTTATAAAATTGGTGGCTGGGACCCGGCTACAATTTGCATACGCCTATGAATTTTATTTCCTGAATCAAGCTCAAGTTAAATTTTAAGAACAACTCCAATTATGCCCTTAGAGTCGTAGTCCATTTAGAATATTATTCTGCTCGACCTGCTCTTCAATTATTCCTTCGATGAGATAAATTCGTGTTTTGGCATCGACTCATCACTTCTGCGATTGTAGTGAACTATAATTTAATTATCTTAATGAACTGGCAAGAAGTGTGGTTGTATGGAAATAGAGACGCGCCTATTCGAATAAGGCTACTATTTGAGCAGGGCTACTACTTGAGCAAGGCTGCTATTTGGGCAGGGCTACTATTTGAGCAGGGCTGCTGTTTGGGCAGGGCTACTATTTGAGCACAGCTACTATTAGAGCAACGGCTACTATTTTAGTTTTTACGGTATGTCAAAAAATCAAGCCAAAAATTAGGAGTCACGTGACACTTATCTTTCCATTGAATGGCCCCTTTGAAGAAAAATATTGGGGTTCAAAGTGCACACGGGTGCCTAGGTTTTCGCCCCGTTAAGGAAAAAGCAAGAGAAAATTTACTCAGAAATTGAACTTCACCACCAATATTTTTCTTCAAAGGGGCCATTCAACGGAAGGATAAGCGTCATGTGACTTCTAATTATTGGCTTGATTTTTTGACACAGCTTGCTAGTCGATCCCAATGTAGCTTGAAAAAAGGTTCCATTGTTAGACAAAAGTCGGCATTAAAAATCGTAGTCATGCTGAATGAAGCCAATTGGCGTTTCTATTTAGGAGGCTATTGATTTTCACCCTTTTCTCTCCGTGGCCTAAACTTGGTTGCAATTTTGAGGAATTTTCCATATTCCAATACAATGCTAAATTTGAACATTTTCTTATCGAAAATTTGGACATTTTCCCAATCAAATGCAAGGTGAAATTTTTGTTTTTCAGTACGCATATTTTATATTGTGTTGGTGTTCACTTGTTTCCCGGACTAAAATTAAAAATGATGAAATTTCAAATAAGAATGCTTTAAGTGGGGCATATGTTGCAGAAACAAGTCCTCATATGAATTGCATACATTTCATATACATATTTGCATATTATTAAAATGTATGAAACTCGTTTGAGAAGAAATTAATGGTGACGTTTGTTTCATAAGATTTATTTATAAAACTGTATAAAATACGAGCCACTGATTATTGTGTTTGATGAAATAAATAATTCTGAAAATTTGGAATAACTAGTGGACCGTCCCAAAATTACGTAATACGAACGGCAGCAGGGGGGTCTATAAGACTGCAATGATGTCGTGCATGCATGCTAAAGGGCCCTCTCCTCCTTAACAATCGATTAGACCCCCTTTACAATTGAAGGGTCTGAAAAATCGCAATATTTGCGCTACGTAATTTACTATTGGTCCATAATGTATTAGATACTTAAATTATTTAAATATACGCATGTGCATATTATTGGCCCTTATTCCACAAGAGAAGTAAACAATTTAATTTCAATTTGAAAATATTATTGGCTTAAATGAAAAAAAAACTAATAATTAATTTACAGTAATAATAAGTGTCTGATTCCACAGGAGAACTAAACAATTAAAATTTAGACGATCTAAACAATTTAGGAATAAGTATATCTGTTTTATGTTATTAAAATAATCATGCCGTCCAATTATTCTAATACAAAGAATTTAATTATAATTTGGAAATAATCTTAGTTTACGTGGAAAGAATTAGTAATTACTTAAGGGCTGCACTTCTTAATTAACTGAACATACTCATTACTCGCATTCGGAAAAAGGCGTGGAAGTCGGGTGTACTTATCCGCTATTTTCCCCTCTCTCAATCTCTCTTTCGTATCGTGTTCCATAAACTCAAAATATTTTACAGTCTTACAAACGTAGGCCGGATTTCGAAAATCGTACGGAAACCAGGCCTTAAAACATGTCGCTGACCACGTCCCTCCCAACGCGTCACATCGGAAACTTTCCAATTTTGGGAAATGATACCCGTAGTCGATCCCGCCATAATAATTTTTCGCTAGAATTAGTCCCACTTGTTGCCCCGGAGTGGCGGTGGAAAAGCCGGGTTTTATAAAATAAATCTCGACGTCGCCATGCTGCATGGAAAATGAGAATTTTTTCAGGGCAGGAAAGCTCGGGAATAGAAGAAATCCTGAAAAGTGGTGGTGGATTTGGAGGGTAAGTTCCGTTAAGGTGGCGGATTGACGGGAGAGGAGGAAATACAAGTCGGACATGGCTCCATCCGGGGATTGGATGGAGTTAAGAGTTAATTTGGAAAGTTGACCGGTGGGGAGGAGGAGTAAGGGGTGTAACTCGTCCGGTTTTAGGGGGATCGGGCTGGAGGCCAGAGTTAGCTTGGTGATGCTGGACCTAAATATTAATATAAAATTAATTAGTGATTATATCGATGCGAAGGCTACAGGCAGTGGCCGCGGTAGAGGGGGACATCAATATTGTGAGGAGGGAAGTGGAATCGGTTATTTTTGGGGGACAATGTTCCCTACAATGGGAGGGTCCATAAGTTATGTCACACAAGAGGGAGGGGGTAGTAGGAAAGGTACAAGGGTCCAAAGATGTCGTCTCTTGTTAAAAGGGGGTCTAAAAATTCGCGATTTTTGAAATTTGCGAAATTCGAGCGTGACATAGTTTATGGACGTTCCCTAAAAATTAGTTGGATTATTATTGACTGTTTTTTATATTTACATAGTTTTGGCTGAATCCTTGTTGGAAAATAGAAGAGGGAGTAGATTCCCAGAAACGGTAAGATTCTGCAGGGCCGGAAATACTGGGAGGATTCCGGTAAAAAATGTATCAGTTCCGTCTTGATCCTGGTTCTGGCTGGAGAGCGAGAGACGCGTCATTTTCGGAAATTTATGGGTCCAATAATCCCGCAGCAGTTGTGACGATTCCTCCCTGGAAACCGCAAAGGTGCCCAAACCCAGGGACAATTCTTCTAAAAGGTCCCTTGAACTGGATAGGATTCCCAGCAGTAGCTCGAGCTCGGCTGGTCCACCGATTCGGATCGGATTTAGAGTGAGGCGACGGAATTGGAGGGTTTTCGTGAATAAGGAGGAAATATGTTGAGGTGGGTTTTTATCTTCCGAATCCGAACCGAATTTGATCGAGACGTTGTGGTTCTGGTAGAAGGACATGGTTTCATTGAAGTCTTGATATCGGGAGGTTTCTTCCGGTGAAAAGGGACACATGAGGTGGAGCGTGCACGTTTCCGGAATTCGGGTAAAACCCCGGAATTCCAAAGTGTGTCGACCAGCCGGCAGGATAAGAGGTCGAGGACAGGGAGAAATTTGGAGATGTGGTGGACCACCTGGGCAGAGTAAAAAGAAATGAGTTTAAGCATACATTGCAGGCTGTTGCAAGCCTCGATGCTCTTAACTCCAAAAGGGGATTACGCAACGGACGTGATATTTTTTTTTGTAATTTCAATTTTTTTATGTTGATGACCTTGATCCAGTGAACATAATTAGTCATTACAACACCCCTCTAAGTGACCTAGTTTGACCGGAAATTGAGGTCAAAGGTCAAAAACTCGTTTGCTGTTTAACCCCAGAAACCTTATATTTTTGGAAAGCTACTGACCTGACGACTTCAAAAAAAATTTTTTTTGGTACGCGGTGAATTTTTTGACCTTTAATGATGATTTGAAAATTTCCAAAAAAAGGCAATTTACCCCACAAACCATATATTTTTTGCTTGAGCTTTCAAATCATCATTAAAGGTCAAAAAATTCACCGCGTACCAAAAAATTTTTTTTTGAAGTCGTCAGGTCAGTAGCTTTCCAAAAATATACGGTTTCTGGGGTTAAACAGCAAACGAGTTTTTGACCTTTGACCTCAATTTCCAGTCAAACTAGGTCACTTAGAGGGGTGTTGTGATGACTAATTATGTTCACTGGATCAAGGTCATCAACATAAAAAAATTGAAATTACAAAAAAAAATATCACGTCCGTTGCGTAATCCCCTTTTGGAGTTAAGAGCATCGAGGCTTGCAACAGCCTGATACATTGACCGCAGGGAGGAAGGGGGTCATGTAGGCACATTAGTATTAAGGGGTAGGGACAAGATGTGAGCTTCCTGAATTTACGTAAGTACAATGTCCCCCTGCCTCCTTGTTTCCGCCGCAATATTAATTTCTCTTTCAACTGTACGCTTGGACATCACAACCTTAGGGAAAACTTTTGGTCGGGGATTGTTTTGGAGGTCAATAAGTAAATTTTCCTAAGCAATGTCGGAATTAACAGTTTTCTTTGCTTCTTTCTAGGTGTGGTAGTTATCCTTCACTCAAAATTTCTCGCTTTTCTCCTATGGTTTTCAGTACCTTAGCGATTCCTGATTTCGAAACTGTTTTACCTTCGCTTCTAACATGTCTAGTTCTTTACCTGCCCGAGTATTTAAGTTTGAAAGGACTTTTTATAACTGTCTCACCTTCTGGGGGCTGTGGGGGAGGAATTTTTGAAAGTCGAGAAGAGAGTTAGTTTCTTGCACACTCTTTGACCAGGGCAACATGCTCTTCTGTTCAAAATTTTGAGCCGCTACGACAAACCAATCCGGGGTTATTCAATGCAAAAATCGTTATAAGTTACGTGCCTTACCCTTTTGTAAAATTCTTTTCATTATGTACATGATTGTTGTGGGGTAGTTGTGACTTTCCCCTGCTTGGGTCGGAAGAAAGAGACTTTTCTTATTATGTGCATAATAAGTACCCTTGAACAACCGTTGAACTACTTTTATTTTATTCACACAGGTTCAGGCACTACACACATTCATACAATCTAACTCACTAACTAACCTTAACTAACCTACGAAAGATTGAATCTAGTGGGTCAGGGGTTGGGGTCCAGCATCGTCGCTGTGATCATTCATTTTTTATACAATAGAGTTGCCTTTCGGGCCAACTCTATTTCAGGAATTGCGGATAAATGCACCAGCTCATTTGCACCCGCTCAATTGCACCCGCTTAATCGCAACCGCTCATTCGCACCCCGGCACATTTTGCACCCCAGCCAATTTGCACCCGCTCAATCGCAACCGCTCATTCGCACCCCGGCACATTTTGCACCCCAGGCCATTTTGCACCCCTTAAAAACTAGAACAAACGGAATAGTTGCTGGATGAATTAATGAGTTGTTAAAAACTAGAACAAAGAAGGTTCTTAATACATGCGACCCAGGGTTTCGACTATCTTAGTCCATGTGTACAACTACACAGGCTGGATACATCCAGTCATCAGCGATAGAGCATTACCCTCGTACCCCGTTATGGGTCATAGTGCAGGATTGCACAGTCAAACTATACAGCCCAATAACGTGTCGTCAAAATCAAAGAAAAAGTCCGAAACCATTAGTTTGAAAGTAATACTTTCGAATATCAAACACTCTAACGAAAGTTGTAGAAAATTTGTACACGATTGTGTAAAATTTTACTCGACCTGGTTGAGTAATCCTCAACTACTAGGTGAAATTAGTTGTGGATTTTTTACTCAGCTAGTAACTAAAAATTGATGAATGAACGATTATAAGTTAGAATTTGGTTGATCAAAATTAGTTTTTTTATGCTGATTACATACATTTTTTAGTTTCTTAAAGCGTACTCTTTATTTATTTATTTAGCGTACATTTTAATTTTACATTTAGTCGCCAAAAAAGTCGAATTTTGCCAAGGTTGTATAAAACTTGATTCATAAAACTTTTGTGCGTAAATTTGAAGCTGGTGAAGTATAAATATTTACTCAATCCTGTAATCTTTTAGCTTGTCGTATAATTTTCCACCTTTCATGGGACACACTTATCATTGATAAGCAATATCGAGTTTTCCTCAATCTACCGCCATGTTAGCTCTCAATCTGCTCCTGTGTAAACGTCTGCATGCACGGAAAACCAAAACTCAATGATACTCATCGGTCTCTATAACATCTGGGGGTGGTCCCAGACGCCATAAAGTATATATATTCTGAATCCTCCCACCAAGACCTTTCCATCGATACCCCTCTTATGGGGTTATGTGAGACTTGGCCTGGTGACCTTTTTCGTTTGTGCGAAAAACTTGTTGACCTTGGAAAAATTTAAAAATCCTCGACGAATCTGATAGTACAAGTCAGTCTGATCAGTTTTTATCAAATATGAAGAAAATCTATGGGGGATTGTTGAAATGCGAGCTATTTAAAAAATTATGATGGATGAGCCAACTTTGTAACTAGACCTCATGTCATTTTGAGGTCAAGGAGTACGGGTAGGGCCTAGCGCTTCAGGATGACCCAAAAACATACCTCGGGGATTGTCCGTACGAAGTTTGACCGCTGTGGGCCTACTGGTTGCTTCAAAATCGCGGGAGAAAGTTGGCAAGTTTTGTCGAAAAAGGCAGTGCTTTCACCCATACCATTAGACGGAGGAGGACGTGGAAATTTTAAAAACTGTCTAAATCGAATAGTTCGGACCCGCTGAGCAGGTTTTTGAGCTAAAACAGCAGAAAATAAAATACGACCTTTTTTACCGGCGATAGCTGATGGAAATCGTCTATTATATTATAGAGTTCAAGACAAGAGTGTGTACAATAAGAGATTCATAACTAATTACATAGGTCTACGTAGGCATACATGTGCAGCTAACACAGAAATGTCTCGATTATGATACTGAATGATGAAACATTTTACCCGGTCATTGCAAGCACTTTGTATTATCCATCGTTAGTTGGAACCTTAATTTCGCATGTGGTGGATTTAGTGGCATGGCAATTTCTATTCTTCAATTCATCCGCCGTACTAAATGTCCTCGTCGGATTTTCTTGTCACGTATGGATTTCAATAATTTATTAGATCTTGTCCAAATTAATCTAACCCTCCCTGCGAAATTTACCCTACTATGTTTCATATACTCAATGACCGCCACCCACAGGCATCCCGCTAGACAGGTGCCGAGTAGAATGAGAATAGTTTGAATACTGTCGCCCAGCCGGACCACCTGAAACGAGGTCGTTGCATAGCCAAATTTCAAATTTTTTCCGCTTTTAGGCTCCCTTTCGCGTAATATTGTCTAGTTTAGCTTAACTTGACGCGACACCTCGGTGTAAATCCCTGACCTCAAAAACAATTTAAAATTTTGCAGCATCCGAGATTCCCGCCCAACCTGAAACTTAAATATGATTTGATCTTGGAAAATTGTTTTCTCTCCGCGATACCATTTTTTAGCGGGGAAATTCCTCTTCAGATACTCAAAATAGGTGTCCACCTCATGCGTTCGTCCGCCATAAGCCGACCTGTCGCACCGCAATATTTCCTCTTCTGTCGCCTGATTTACCTCGTTCGCGGCTGCATTATTGCCGGAATATCCATATTTCTCAAGATACCATCGAATCCTTGGATTCAGCATGGAATGCAGATATACCTGATCAAGCAATGGAAGCATTTTATTGCCATCGAAGGTTCGCCAAGCATAGTGGGCAAAATAAAACGAAAATTGGTATTTTTTAAAAAATTTATCAATTCCTTTCGACAGTGAATCGAATCGAGACAAAACTGTGTAGCAGAATCCTCTCCTCCTCTGCTCAGTCAGGGAAATTGGAATACTAGGGGCGACTAATCCTCGCTGCCAGTCCTCTAGACTCCCCAACCTTACCACGAAATTCCCGGACGAGTCGTATTCCTTTCTTTGTGGTTCCATACAAAAAACTTTTCATACGTGTCACCTCGTTCCCCTGGAAGGGGTGAGTTTAAATTGGTGATGAAGCTACTCATGTAGCAATTACTAATCACTACGAGGACCAGCAGCCATGAAATACTTAGGACTTTAAGGGGGAAGAAATTACTCAATTTTGTCGGAAGCTTGTCCACCTCGTCGATCAGGAGACCAAAAAAATATAGAAATAGTTTTAGCAGAAAGAATTCTTTGTGCAAGATGTAAAATCCTAATGAAAGGAGGAATGCTGATAAGAATAACATAATGACGATGACGACCCACACGATGGGTTCGTATGGAGCGAAATACAAGGAAAACGAAACCCCACTTGTAAACATGGAGCAAGAGATAAATGAGAAGCCAAGGAAATCTAAGGTGACCATTTGACCGTTTGTAACGGTATAATGGATGAACGAGATGACAGGCATCAGTTCGAATGTCGGGTAGTGGCAGTGTTCCGTTAAAACGTCGTAGCACTTATTAGCATTAGATCTTTTAGACTTTGTCGCGTTAAGCAAATTTAATGCCATGGTAATTAAAGTCTTATAAATAGGTAGTGTAGAATCATCTTGACTGAAGTCTGCCCAATGAAATTCCGACCGGGGCGGGTAGTTTGAAGACA